AACAAACTCGCCACCACAACAAACTCGCCACCACAACAAACTCGCCACCACAAAACTTGCCACCACTCCAAGTCACTTAAACGTTACGTGTAGCCTTTCGTGTGAAACTTACATCGAATGAAAACTAATATGTTTTAGTATATCGCGAAAAGGGAAAGGGACTCAGAAGCTAGGTGTATCGTCTCAATAGCGAAATTTCATAACAAATTTATTTAAAAAAAAAAATTTATCGTTACATTCAAGGCTCAGTTGCCAGAAGTGAGCGCTACCCTGCCTATGGTTGTCTTTGGTTCACTGGCTGTAGCCGCTGGCCTTCTGGCACTGTTTCTTCCCGAGACTTTGAGGAGCAACATGGCTCAAACCGTGGAAGAAATCAACAAAAATAAAGAGTTCTACGGTATGGTGTGCATGGGAAAACCCCGTCCATGTCCTCTTCCTTGTCCCTGCTGCAGGTATTTATCTATCTCTTTTACGGATCTAGAAAATGGTCAGATGTAAATTTGAAATTTTATAGGATACTCAGTTCTCAAGAGTATATCCAAAGCGAATTTAATTACCGTAACTGAGCCCGGAGATAAGCCGCACCCACAGGTAAGCCGCGCCCTGAATTAAGCAGCTCCAATTTTGAAAAAAAAAATGTTTTTTGAAAGAAATCAAAAGAAATCCAAAGTCGTGTCTTGAGAAGTCTTCTTCATCCACTGTGCATTGAACGTAAACTCAATAATAACATTGCAACGGAAAATACTTCAAAGCCTTACCCACGATTTTAGCACTATAACATAATGAACATCGTTTCTACCAACTTTGACATAGGATTGGTCTTTTTGTAGTATTTGCTGGCAGAAATTTCTTTATTCAACACAGTTTTTACATTGATTTTTGCTTTACAACAAGAACGTGAGCAAAATATTCGAAGCTTAGTAACCAGGCATGAGATCGAACGCGAAAATGAAAAACTGAACACCAGCATCTATATTCACGGCACTTTTTTCAAGTGTTCCCGCTGATAAGCCGCACCCCTAATTTCTAACGACGATTTTCGGAAAAAAAAGTACGGCTTAGACGCGGGCTTTTACGGTAATATTCTCCCATAAGTACCCATGAGCCACCTTAGGTGGTCAGCAGGTGATTTACGAACAAGTTGCCTTTCGCGGTTTGCGGAAAAGCCGGAAAATCGTAGAGCCCTACACCCCCTCCCCTACCCCTCCTTTCACCCCTCTTCCCCTAACCTCGCACTTCCGCAAAAAAAAATGATAATAATTTCGATGCAAGGCAGGCAACACTTCCTAACCAAATCTGTTTTGATATCCATTTTTTTCGAGGGAAATAGAACAAAGTCTTAGTTGATTGTTAAAAACAGCAACTCAAACTTCGGGATGAGAATTTATGTTTCATACCAACCATTTTATCATTTAACAATGTAGGCCTTTTTTACCTTTTAGCTCTGAAGGGTCTGGTAACGATCCTAGCTCAGTCCCCTTCCAAATTTAAATGGACAACGAAGATGACCAGGCAAAAATCTAAAGCACAAGACGGAGACGTTGTTGCAATGAAGTGTTCAGCGATTGTCGTTAACGTCAAAGCAACAGCCATGTAGCTAGGATCACGGATGATGTCGTTCATTTGAATTAATTTGCAATTTCAATACCGTTATCACCACATTATTGGCTAGAGTTTTCATAATAAGTCCTTTTATATTCAATTGCATATATCCTAATAATGGTTTTATAAGCTTAAGAAAAAGAAAACTTGAGCATAGCTTAACATAATTCGTGTCGTGTAATAAACGTCACCCCGAGGCAAATTTGAGTGCGATCGAGCCGGTGCCCGTCATGGTCCATGGGAATTTTTTAAAGCTAAAGAACAATTTTTAACGAATGGTCAAACTCTGAGGTTTCTTAAAACCATCGCTAAAGTAGTTTCTCAATGAGATCCCGTCCATAAAATACGTTAACCGGCGGGGGATAGCCCGTCCATAAACAAAAGGTAGGGTAGCCTTTTCAAAAATGTAGGAGCTTGAAAGTTGCCATTTGGGTGTGGAAGAAATGATAAAAACTAAAAGAAGATATCCCTTCTAAGAAAGATATCCGTATATTTTTGGATAAGGCCTAACCGAATTTATCGCACCCTATATGAGTCTGTTGTAAACCACTTTTTAGTGAAAAAGTTTCCTCATTAAAGATTGTCATCATCAGATGTAGGTACTTTGTAACGGTTCATGAAACGAAATTGGAATATTTTGTAGGTAGAATAAAACAGATTTATTTCTGGAGTTGAGGTCCAATTGTTCGTTTTCATGCTATCACCCGCTCTGAAATTGAAATTATCATGGTGGCTTGGACGAAATGGTACACATGATTCCCCGTTTTACTGTGTAGTACGCTCACTACGCTCCAAGGATGTTACTACGTTTTCAGAAAGATATTAGAAGACCTAGCATGCTATATAATTGCAATGAATCACAACATTACGTTGTTATTTTCTCTTTCAAACGGTTGTGCCCCTTCTCCTCCCCCCCCGAAAAAAATCCCCTTAACCCCCACTCAGTCTTAGTGGGGGTTAAGAGGACACAAACAGGTGTCTGAGTGACTCAGACACTTGTTTGTTGGGGCTCAACACCACATAAGGAAAGATTCAACGTAACCATAACTGTGTCACATATGCATTGCTCCCGTAATCTTTGGTGATCAGGCTCTCATAATGTTTCCATATTCTATTAACGCCCCACGTGCACGACGTGTGCAGCAGTACGTATATTTTGTAGTCCTCTTTCCAGTCCTCCGCTGGTTCCATTGTCTGAGTCATGGGACTTCAACGTGTCTGCGGCACAGAACCATCACGCCCGCGATAAGTATAAAAAACAGACCACACATGACCAACGACAGGGTCTTGTTCATGCTTGGAAGATCTGCTTGAATCAATCCATCAGGAAAATAATCAATAGCATGACCCCGTCGTTCTTTCGTCAGTCCGTTCGTGTCTTCGTTTGGTTTGTTGACTTGATAGTTATTTCGCATTTGTGTTGGTTCTTTCGTTTATTTGTTCAGTAATTTTCTTCGCTGTTCAGAGAGTCTGTCACTAAACAATAAATACTGGAAATTCTCATTCTAGCTGAGGAAGGCGCATGATTACTAGAAATAAACAGATTATGAAGAATGATCGAAGTTTAGCTGAAAAGTCTCGTCTCCCTTCTATTTTAGACAATACTTCGGGTAGAATCGTTTGGGAAATATCTTTTCGTATCCCACGCAACACGAAGAAGCGGTTACAAGCCGTCACTGATACATTATTCCTTTGGCTGAGCCACTAAATGGAAAGATTTTACTCAAGTTTTTCAGTCTCTTGTAACTAAATATTCTGTCAAAGGTGAGGTCATCTTTCATTTGCATATCTCACGTACGATGCATAATTATAAGAGGTTGGACGTTGTTTGTAAGAGCACAAACTGGATCTTGCCTGAACTGCTCTCCAGGTAGTAGAAGATTCGAGAGTTTTCCGCTGTTGCCCAAAAGCGTTCAATAGCACCATGTCTGGTTCACAAGGGAATTTAGAGATGGAAAGATCAAGATCAAAGAAATCGTGGGAGTTTGACGATATTTTAGACATGGTTGGCGGATTTGGTCGTTACAGCTTTGCTCTGTATGCTTTCATGTGTATCATGTCCTTACCAATCGGCCTACAACAACTTGTACAAGTCTTCTACGCAGCAACTCCAAAATATTCCTGCGTTTCGTATTCGTCGCCGAGCAATGAAACATGTTCGGGATGCTGCAACAACTGCGAAAAATACGAGTTTAAGACAGGACTAACGAGTGCTGTGACAGAGGTAATAATGATTTAGACTGATAGTGATTGTTCCTCCATAAATGGAAATTCTAGTTTAGATAAAAAGCAATGATCGACCCAGAAAAGTAAATTTCGGGGCCGGCTCCTAGACAATTTTATCACTTTCGTCAGTCATAATCACTTTTCGGCCTCCAATAGACTTATTTAATTGACTTAATAAGGTCGCTGTTTATTCACACGTCCTGTTCAATGTTTACATCGCAAGGATTTGTTATTCATCAATACAAATTTAACGGCCAACTACTTAATTTGCATAAATTCATAGATAAGCTGTAACGTAAGGAACCGAAAACATCGTCTATTTCGTGATAAGGTGCAATGCTATCCTGCGGAAACGATTAGGAGGAAATCTACAATTTCCAGACTTTGATCTTTCCGTCCTTCGGCAATCAAAATGTTATCTACATTTGAATCGTCTTGTCCTAGCTTGTTACCTGATAGGATTTAATTTTCTTTAATTGCGTTATTATTGATTACTACAGGGATACTCAAAGTACATCCTCTTAGACTGAAACGTTCCTCACTGAATCAAGTGCTCGATGAGTCCTGTACCCTCTTTTCTATCCTTTCATGACAACAAAAATTATCTCTCTCTCTCTTTCCTTGTTTATCTTGTTACAGTGGAACCTAATATGTGACAGGCGCCATCTGAAGGCCATGACACAGTCAGTTTACATGGCAGGTCTATTGTTGGGTTCTGTTGCCTTTAGCACCCTGTCCGACCACTTTGGCCGTAAAATCAGCGTCTTCCTCAGTATTTTATTCATGGTGAGTACGTGAAGTTTTGCCCAACTGGAACGTATATGAATTAAAAGTTTTTTCAAACCAAAGTTACACCGGCCGGTTTCCACAGCACGGCGTGGCTGAGAGTATTGCTACCCCCCCCTCCATGGGATACTCCTCCATTGCAGGTTAGCCCCCACCCCCACCCCAAAGGTCTCAATGGGGTGTTGGCTTCAACGGCTAATGGTTAAAAAATTTTGACCAATTTACTGCTAACGGTTAATATCTCTCCATTGTGGTCACCAGGAAAATTTTTACGTTTTTAGCAGTTAAAATTTGTCAAGTTTTACGCCTAACGGTTAAACCCATGGAGAGACCCTTCGTTTGCAGGTACCCAGAGAGTAGCCGTGGCAATAGAATTTCTTGCCCAAGAACACAACACAACCCTCGAACTCAGGATTCTTGGCCTAAAATCAAGCTCTGTAACCTTTAGGTTACCACATATGTTCATAGCGAGTGATCAAATGAAATTTAGTGTTGGCTCCCACCAATCAATTCTAACGGCTGAACATTTTTGTTCTTCAGGCTGCTTGTGGAACAGTTTCTGCTGTCTCAGACTGCCTCTCGTTATTCTCCTTGTTTCGGTTTGGAGCTGGAGCAGCCACAGCAGGCTGTCTTCTTGTTCGGTTTGTCTACTGTATGGAGATCATTCACATAAACAATCGTACTGCAGCAGGAATGGTGAATAACATTTTCGTTAGCATTGGTTTTTCCACGCTTTCTTTGCTTGGTTACTTCATTCGTGACTGGAGACATCTAATGCTGGTTGTCTCTCTGCCTGCAGCACCATTACTGCTCTGTTACTGGTGAGAACATTTTTAACTTGTTCTTCGCGAAGTATCTAGCTTAGTTTTTGTTGGAAATTTAGGATTTATTTTCTTTTTTCATCACGCCTAATTGTGACATTAGGGGAAATAGTTATTCCGATTTCAACAACTTTATACCCGCGTTCAACCTCTGGTCTACTAGTCTCTACGGTCTCCGCAACGATTACGCGTTGATACTGGGGGTCATTTTATGTTAACGCTTAACTTTACACCGCTTCAATCAGATGTCAACCTAGTTCCCAGGGCCTCTCATCTTACCGCCTCCTGGAGCTTCAGGGGGGTGGTCAGATGCGAGACCCCGGGAACGAGGTTGATAAGATGTTAGTATTAAATCGATCTCCTAACGTTCTATCACAAATATTACTATCTGATTGGTTGGGCAACTCACTAGTTGTTCCGTGATAGATAAAGAATAGAAAGAGAATCCTAATAGATTGCGGCTGTAAAAAAGAAAAAAAACGAAACACGAGCTTGTCCTGTTTACTTATTTTTCAACGACTCGTAGATTTATACTAGAACATCTAGATTTTCTCTCGATTTCTATCCTTGATACAGCCATTGATTTGTATCGCACCCTTTTCTGCAGTCACGCGATAGAAATAACAAGCTGATTATCAAATTGTCGAATATTTTTCTTTAATTTTGTTCTAAGGCTTATCCCAGAGTCTCCTCGTTGGTTAATTGCCAAAGATCGCCTAGACGAGGCTCACGAGTTGCTTATGAAGTATGCCAAGAAAAATGGCGTCACTGTTGAATCCACCCAGCTCAAACATGTCATACAGGAATTCAAGAAAGAAGAAGACAGAAACTGGAAAGAAAGCAAAAAGACGTACGGGATCCTGGACATGGTTAGAACTCCAAAGCTCAGGAAAAGAACCCTAATTTGTGGATTTAATTGGCAAGTTTCAATTGCACAACTGTGATGATTGCAATGACATATATATGCATGCTTCAACCCACGGGCTGAGTCAGCTTAGAGACCAGGCACTATTTATTGCTTAAAGCTGAGGGAGGGGGAGGTTGTTGGATTTTGGGGATCACATGGTTTTCAAGGGGAACGAAGGAAGATCAGTCATCACTAATAGAGTATAAAATGAAGGGAGGACTATAGGAAACCGACTGCTGATTATCATAATAATACTACAGAATCTTAGAGGGCGAAATAACTTTAGGGATGTTTACGACTAAACCATTGATAATTAACATATTCTAAAGCCTTGAACGTTAGCACCTCCCTCCCTCCCCTTCCCTGTACTATCGGTGAGAACCGCCGAAACGGAACATCATTCCTCTTTAAAGAGGGGAGAGGGGAAGGGGAAGTTTGGATCACTCTCGTAAGAATAATCTTTTAAAATAGATAAGTTACTTTTTTCGCGTAATGCTTTGGGCAGAAAATAGAAATTGTCCTTACAACTCCAGTAATGATCTCATTCTTGTAGGTTTGTGAACGCTTTAGTTTACTTTGGGATCAACTTGAATGTCGGAAATCTGGCAGGAGACATGTACCTGAACTTTTTTATCCTCTGTATCGTGGAAATTCCAGGAGCATTGGCTCTCTGGTTCTTCTTTGTGCGGTAACCTCAGTAGTTGTTATACGTATATGATACATTTTTAATTTTGTGTGTTTTAAGGCTCTTTTATGTTAGCACGTTCGTATTTTGAACGATCTTTCATGCTCACTAGACGCTACGTGGGTAAATAAACGATTGATTAATTGATTGATTGATTGTAATCCTCTAGTTAACAAACCGTTTAGAACATCTTCTTGAGTTTTCGTCACTATCACTCTTGAAACACAATTCGAGGGAAACTTCTGGCCAGTTTCCTCATGATTGGGATCCAAGTATGAATATCGAAGACAGATGCTTTATATCAATCAACAATTGAGTGGCCACTTACAACAGTTAGTGGCTATTTACCTGTGACATTCTTTATCCTTTTAAGATTTGGCCGGCGTATTCCTTATGCCTTGTTCATGATTATTGGGGGCACCGCAGAGTTGTTGGTGCTAGCCGTTCCATCTGATGATGGTAAGTTAAGTAGTCAAATCGTGCTGATTTCAAACAGAAACTACACGTATTATTACAAATCTATCCGTTAAGTTAAGGATGCACGCTGGACTCCGGATTTAAGGAACCGGATTTGACGATAATAGCGCCTGTCCCCACCCAGGAGTTTGAAAGAGTGCTTCCGATTTGCCCGGGGAAACCTAAAAAGATCTTGAACGGGGGGGGAGGGGTGGGGTGAACTAGCATCCCATCCGGGGGAAATATATTTCTTTTTTGGCACATTTTTGAAGGATAGAAAATGGCTGGAAAATGCCTTTCCTGTGATTGTTTAGAATCTTATCTTAAATTATTATTTTCTGTCCCCAGAGTATAAAGTCATTATTACAGTCTTAGCTGTTATTGGTAAATCTTGCATCTTGGCGACTTTCCTGGGAATTTATATTTACACTGTGGAACTCTATCCTACGATTATCAGGTTGGTATGAGTAGCGAAAATGGTGCAACACTAAAAAAAGAAATTCGATTTTACGAATTCATCCATATGCAAAGGAACAGACTGAAAATCTAATAAGGAGTAAAAGTGAGGGGTTTGTTGAGTAATGTAATTGTTTTTCTTCATTGTAGGAACACTGGCATTGGAGTGTGTTCTATGATGGCTCGTTTTGGAAGCATTATAACACCTTACATCGTGTTACTGGTTTGTATTTGCACTCCACTTTCAATGGGATTTACTAATTACCTCGTAAAAGACGAATTCACAGCTGTGTGTTGTGAATAACTCGCGTTGGAGCTAGCGCTTTGGTATTTCTTTATTTGATCCGTCATTCATTGCCCATTGACAGACTGTCGCTGAACGGTTTATATGACTATGAGAAGAAAATAAACAAACAAACAAAGAACAAAAACACCACCGAGCGGATGCGAAATGACGATCGAACTAACAGATCCACAGCCTTCTCAAAACTGGCCGGTCAGCGGCTCAACGAGCCGCCTCCTTTCAAATCTTGGCCGTCTCTTTTCAGTCAAAAAATATAATTTTCAACGGCAACAGATAAAAAAATATAATTTTCAACGGCAACAGATAAAAAAGAAAACAAGAAAAATTAAACGCAAACAGAGAAAGTTAAAGAAAAGCCGCCAGAGTGCGTTTAGCTGGCGTGATCCGCTTAAATCTTATATAAAATAATTACACGACTTTTTTCCCTTTCAACACACCCAAAATGCACCAAATTGCATTTCTGAGCATCTAAATTTCCAAAATTTTCCGGACAGCATGCCCCGAGACCCCCCTACAGGTTCGTGCTCGCAGGGCACTCGAAGGGGTGCCGTTGGCACCTCAACCTACTCCTCTAATCCATTAACCTACTCCTTGAAATGTTTTTGAGAAGGCTGACGTATATGGACAAACCAACACATGGACGAATGGACTGAAGAGGGAACGACGGGGTATCGATTATATTCCAAATGAATTCATTTATTCCTCTTTAATCAGGCGGATCTCCCGAACATGAACAAGACTCTTCCGCTGGTCATATTTGGTGTTTTTGGGCTTATCGCAGGCGTGATGGCTCTTTGGCTGCCAGAGACACGTTACAGTCCCATGGCTCAGACAGTGGAACAGGTTGAGGCTTGGAAAGAGGACTACAAGATACACTGCTGCACACGTCATAGCTCGAGGATGGAGAATGGAAACATTGGTTTGATGGAAGAGAAAGAAGAAGACGAAGAAGAGACTCCGATTACGAAAGACACACCGCCTTATGGGGAGAAATACGACACGGTTGTTTAGATCAATATGTAGGCTACGTTGAATTTTTTCCTAGCATGGCGCAAAGCTGTAAGAGTACATGAGGCAGTGTGTATGAATCCAGTGAGGGTTAACCTTTGGGGTTAGATTCACTGCTGAGAATCTGCTTATACATTTGCTGATAACTGGGAGTTGACAAGAAATTCAGTTGATTATCGAGCTTTAGTATTTGGAAACTCCCATTCATATCCTCTGAACCTAGCTCTTTGATATATCAGGATCCTAAGTCTTTGTTAAAGGAGAATAATGATGTCTAATTAAACTCCAATTCTATGTCAGTATCTCAGCCACTGCGGTGTATGAACTTCAATGTATGTGGTAGAATTAAAAAAAAAAAACATATGCGCATCAACTCCCGAATTAAATCTGACCTATATTCGTGCAAAACTTTCATTTCTGTTTCACCAACCTTAGCAAAGTGCATGCAGTGAGCTACATAGATATGATGATAGATAGACTTTATAGATCTAAGTCAGGTTGCGATAAATTTAGTAAGGTCTTTTCTAGAAATAAACGGATAATCTTTAAAACGGAGATGTTTATCTCTTAGTTTTAGCCCGTAGTAAACATGAAAAGGACATTTTCGAGCACCCTAAAGGGTCACTCATCTGCTGACAACTGCCATATAGATGTTTGATTCTATCTTCTCAAAATGATTTCATTAGTGCCTCTGGGAGGAAATTAAATTTATGATTTCTTGTTCACTTCTTCAGAACTGAGCCTCATGTAAAGCCTCACAACCTCTGAAAATATCAACCACTCCCAAATGTAGCTGCATTTGATTTACTTTTCCAGTTCTTCTAGAAAGAGATAGTCAAATACCTACGGCAAGATAGAGGTATGGACGCAGTTTTCCATTCAAACCAACCATACAACGCTCTGTCGGTTTTAGCCATGATGTACCTTTAAGTCTTGATAAGAGAAAGGGATATAAGGATGGCGGCGTGGCTACAGCTGAATGATGTATCGCTAGCAAGCAAAGCAAGCAAAGCAAGAAAAGCAAGCAAAGCAAACTTTGATAACTATAGTGCTTTGCGTTACACTGCGTTACATTGCGTTACTACTATTACACAATCGTGCTGTAAATCTACTCTCCTTAGTGAAAGTAAAATAACTTATCACGATTATTGTGAGGTGAATATATTATCTTGATTATTGAATAAAATACAATTGAATTAGAGGAATGAGAGTGATCACTTGACCCATAAATGCTCTACAATAACTTAGTGAATTATATAAAAGATTTCTTTTATTATTATCATTATTATTATTATATCTATTATTATCACCATCATCATCATCATCATCATCATCATTATTATTATTATTATTATTACTATTATTATTATCATTTTTGCTCTTGTCGTTAATAAAGAATTAAACATTTTAATTTGTACTTGAGTAGGCCATTGACTGACCAGCGGCACTACTTTTGAAAAGGTACTCGTAATACACTATTTTGCATACATGAAGTATTTACTAAATAGATACAAGATGGACAACGAAGGTATGGGTAAACTTCATGACTAAAATTTTCCACGATTTTAACTTGATTATAGTTGATATTWTTAATTCGGTTTTGAATCTCAGAGGCTGTAGCATTCTTCAAAAAATGTATGGTGGACGACCCAGGCATGTCGACGGCTGTTGCCGCTATACAAACTCTTTTGGAATTTATGAATCAAAATTCAGGTAAGACGTTTTAAAGTTTACTATCCCATTTAATGAGTACGCCTCTTCAATTGAGAAAAGGAATGAGAGCGGGGGGGTAAAAGCTTCGCCGAAATTTTAGTTATTCCTTGTCACATCAGCTGATGTTATCGTGTAATTTCTCTCTGTAATTCCAAAATGTTAGTTTGCACACTGTAGGATGTAATATCAGATAAGCTTATTGGCCTATGGGTGTTATCATGATGTAGGACCAAGTTCTCCTGTCTAATTCACAAGGAGATATGGCAATCAGCCGGGAGAATTTCCACTTAGATCTAGGGAGTCAAAGGGATCTATAAGTAGCTCCTGTGGAGACAGCAAGGCAACATGGTTATGTGAGGGTGCTAGACTCATGAACTGGTGATCCCGGGTTCCAGTTCTCCATCTCATTACTCACTGGATTGGTTCTTGGTAGCTCCTAGATCAATGCTATGACTACAATGCATGTGCAGCCAACAGGCTGTCCACAAACTAACTGGGATATACAACAACTTCATGTTA